TTTTGTATATTGGTATTGAAGATTTATTGTTTTTATCCAATTCCCTTATCTACTATTATCATTACAATATCATCATGTAATGAGTTATAATTAAATTATTATTTGGTGTTTAATTTTTCTGAATATGTAAGTATTATTCATTACTAAGGCAAAATTGTGATTAATGTCTATTTTGGGGTAAATTTTTCTGCTGTAATTGTTTTTTGATTGCTTGGTTTTTATGTTTCTTCTGTCAAAATTTCTTCTCAAGCCTTTCAAATTAGTGTAAAGCCCATCTGTATACTATTTTCCTCATGATCAAGCATATCAAATATGCCATCATTTCCATTTTCTTTAGATAGATAGTCCTCCAGACAACCTTTCGACCATCTCACTTTAGACCATCCTTGGACTTCCCCTTATCTCTACCCTGAGTTACAGCTCCTACTTTTGGATAATTTTTGTGAACTTGCATTTGATGTACATAGTGTTTAACTTTGTGTTTTTATTCAATGCTCATATTTTGGTTTATCATTTTACTGAGTAAATAATTTTAGGTTGAAAGTGATTTTTAAACAGAATTTTGAAGAAATTCCTCTATTATGGTTTAGCTTCTAGTATTATTTTTAAGAAGTTTAATGCCATCCTATTTCTTTCGAAATGCGGAACATTTTGTATTCTCCTGAAAATTTTAGGATTTTTCTCTCTTTGCTATTGTTTTGAACTTCCATGATGATGTGTTTTTGTGTACATCTTTTCTGTTTTGTTACTTTTGGCACTCCAGAGACGCTCGTGCTTTCATTCAGAGATATTTTCTTAATTCATTTTCTTTTTTTATCATTTTCTCTTTTCTATTTTATTTTTTTTCTTCTTCCAAAACTCCAATTATTTGCTGTTGAATATCTGGGATTTATTAACCAGCTTTATCTTTCCTATTTTTCATTTCTGTATCTTTTTGTTTATTTTTTGGGAAATGACATCAACTTTAACTTCTAAATATAATATTGATTCGTTTTAGTGTGAAAAATTTTAATTTAAAAATGTTTTTATTATCTGATTGTTCCTTTTATATAGCATCGTGTTCTTGTTCTATGGATAAATTGTATTCTTTCATCTATCTGAGAATATTAAATACAGTGTTTTAAAAATACTCTTTTTTCCTGTTATTTGTATGTGTCTTTTTCTCCAAGCTTCTTTTTATTACTATTATTATTTCTTTTGGTCTTTGTGTTCTAAATTGGAAGGCTTCCTTAATTTATTGGTAATCCTTGGCAGTCTATTGATAATTAATAATGAGGTACTATAAAGCTTATGAGAAGTTCTGTGTGCATGGGTTAGACTTGTCAACTGGTGAACTTTTGAATGAGATGGCATGGTGGGGACCAGGTTATTTCATTCAAGGTATACCCAAATAACAAGAGTTTCAAGTTTAGTTTCAGAGGTTTTAGTTTCACCAGAGAACACCCTACCGATCTTCTGCTTAAGAAAGACATGACTGAGAGGGTAGAGAATAGGGAAAATGGCCATGGTGAATTGTTGACTACCCATGCTTTTGTAATCTAGGAAAGGAAGGGAGCTGAAAGTCTATTCATTCAGTCTCTTTGTTATACTTACTCTTCCTGATTTCTCTACTGAGTCTAGTATCCTTGAGTCAGAGGTCTCTCTGGCTCGATTTATTCTCAGAATGAATCTCCTACTGGAGTCAGCTAGAAATATTGCCTAATGCTGGAAGTAAGGACACAGTTAGATTCGTGTCTAATAGCCACATGTACAGTCTCTCAATGAATCCCGTTATTTGGGGCCTCTTTTTGACTCTGACATTTGATGGCACATGCTACTGCTAAGTTTTGAGAGTTTCTGGATTCTGTAACATAAATTATCTCACTCTTTAATGGCTTTCTTCTATTTAGGCACTTGGTATTCAATTTCTCTTCTTTGTTATTTCCTCCATTCACTTTTGATCTTTCTCAAATTTATTTGTTCTTTTTCTGCAGTTCTCTTCTCTTCCATTTTCTTTGTCTTTAGCATTCACAGCTTTGTTTCAATAAAGAGAAAATAATGACATGCATTTATTCAGCCATATGTAGCTAGAAGTCTTTCTAAATTGTTAAAAGAGAACCATTTTTAATTTTTTTTTTTTTAGTTCTAAGATTACCAGTGTAGATATTGGGCTAAAAGGAATAATCATGCATGCTATCTACAGAGCTGTGGTAAAGGTCATTGATATTTTGAGAAATTCTTCAGTCTAGATTGACTAGTTGAAAATTTCTGGATTAGAAAATCCTTTAGTGTGATATCTTCCTGTAATTGATCTAGAAACTAAAAAATAGAATTTAAATCAAAAGCACATAATAAATTCTACCATCTACCTAGATTTTTATGTTAGAATCCTGATGTTGTGGCTGATATCATCCTCTTCCTTTTACCCCATCCAATCAATCACCAAGCCATGGTGACTTTTCTTATGTCTTAAATCATCTGCTTCTCACTTTCTCCATGGCCAATAGTGAAGTCCAAATCACCATCATTTTTACTTAGATTTCTGTCATAGCCATCTACATGAATGGTTTTCTCTCTTTTCACCCATTCTTACTTGGTGGTCAGAGCCATCTTCTTAAATCATTGATATGCTCACATGATAATCTTCATGGAAACCATTCATAGCTGCCCATTCATCTTAGTATAAAGATTAAAACCCTTACCATGGTACATAAGACCCTGTGTGGTCTGAACTCAGCTGAATTCTCAGCTTCATCTCTCCCTTCTGGCTTTGTCCCTTCTGGTTTTGTCCCTTCTTTTAGTTCCTGCTATGTTGCAAGCTTCTCCCCAGCTAAGGACCTTCACTCAGTTATTTTGCCTAGAACTACTGAAATCTCAGAAACACTATCCCTTGCATGCTTAGCGTTCAGGGTCATTACTTGGTAGAGTGAGAGGTTAGGTCTGGGGGAAATCCTGAAACATTTGAAGAAGTTGCTGAAACCTCATCCCTAGCTGTGTGACTGTGAGTCACTTACAAGTTTAGGGGACCATACGTTTGCTCATTGTAGGTTGTTTAATCAAATAATGAACGCAAAATATTTATCGTAGTGCCTTGCAAATGATACATATTCAATAAATATTAGTTTTTCCCCCTTCTGCTGAATTATCAATAACTATTTGATGAAGGCATGAAAATTTGGAGAAAATGTCATACGCAGTAAGAAACACTATATTAATGCAAATTGACTGGTAAAACTTTCTTCTCTCAAAGTTTAATTAAAATTTTTAAAAATAATTTTAGTAAAAGCAATGAGTTCTGAAATAAATTACAGAAAGAGCTGTTTCTCAATTCTTTCAAGAATTTTCCTTACTTTTTTTCCTTTGTATACATTCCTAACCCAATGCATGTCATTTGCCAAGAAACAGACCCTTAAGATTTTTGAAGGAAAGCTATCCACAAATGTGAGGAATTCCATTTAGAAGGCAAACAGAAAATGTTAATGATAATGGCAATGCTAGTGTTGACTTTTACATTTATAGGGCGCATTTATCTTCAAAGCGCTACCCAAGCTTTCTGTACAGCAACGAAAAATTAAAGTGAAGATTTCTTACATATAATTGACTGCAAATTTACAGCATGGAGAAACAATGCCTAGATGTGGGAGCCAAATATTTCAGAGAGGCTTTTGTTTTATTCATTTATCCTGAACTTGATTCAGGGAGAAATACACTGAGAAATTTCCTCAAACAACTCCAAGACTTGAGGCAACTCATTGAATACCACTCTCACATGAGGTTTTAGAATTCATAATTCTTGGCCAAAAAATAATTCTTGTCAAAAAAATCTTTCACTTCCCCCAATCATATTATACCACATTCCCAACTGCAAGTGTCTGCAAAAATTTTTGTCTTCTCTTGCGCCTTCCTATTAAGGGTATAAGGGTACCAACTGTTTCTCCAAACGCTATGCTGACCATAGGAGTCAATAGCACAAAACATGGACCTGGATCAATTACTGTAGAGTTGGTTTACCCATTTCAAAGCTTACGACAACCTTGATTTGATTGCATAATCCAAGTTCAAAATCTCTGATCCCAGAATCTTATTCTAGCTTTATTTCAAAATACCTACGATGTATAACATGCGCATCTTATTATTGTTGTTTCTCGAAATCTCTACTCGCCCTGTTGTCCCTTCTCAGAGCATCAGTTTGTAGTTTTCTGCAAACTGTAAAATGAAGGAATTATATCACTCATACTGAATTGATTTTAGAGGAAACTATGTGTAGACTATATTCTTTGTTAACGTTTTTTGTTTTTTAATTTTCTGTTTGAAAGAAAATGTGCTATTTTTAATAGTATTAAGTTATATTACATATACTTTTATCTAAATTTGAATTTAAGATTTTCAACACTACTCACCCCGAGGAAAAGGATGGGATTTCTTAGAAAAGGTCAGGAATTTTGTTCCACTATTATTTGGATACTTTCTCATCACTGGCCATTGAGTATGTAGAAAACGTAAACCAATTTCCAATGTACCTTTAAGTTCAGTGCAACAAAGCTATCCTCAGCAAAAGAATAGGTATAAGATGTATTCCAAGTCCAAATTGTGCTTTACTGTTGATCTTTTTTTTTATTATTGAGTTTTTTTTCTTTTTCATTAATACTTTAAATTTTCAAAAGCCCCAGTTACATGAAAGTGGTAGGTCAGGGTAAAGAAAATGCACAGAGATGAAAGATACATGATGTCCTCAGGACCCTCTGGGAAGGCCTCATAGCCAATCTTCTCCTCAGCAGACAAAGACCTGGAAACTCAAAGAGAACAACTGACTACTTAAGTTCTACAATTCTCTTATCTTAGGGGATCTTTACATTTTTTCTTCCGACGACTTCTTTCTTCTTCTACAAAGTATCTTACTAGCTAAATATAACAGTTATCGCGCTCAGGTTAGGGAAAAAAAAACCCTATAATACAGGCAACAGAGATGGGAAGGATCTCGATCGCTGCATTCTCATTTCTCATTCTTTCTTTTTGAACAGAACCGAAGATGCAATTCAGCAGAACAGAGAAGCCTGGGGAAAAACCCGTTCTGAAGTCACAGCAGTAGAAAACTGTGAGCTAAATTAAGATAAAATGAAAAAACAGGGAGTGACAAAAAATATTGCAGACATCATGAAGATTATCCACTCATCTTGAAGATTAACAGGTATTATCTTCATTTAAACAATATATTTATATTCCATGATATTTTACGGGGAGCAGATCTAAACAGGAAGATATACTATTAAGGTGCTGGTCTATGGTGAGGGGGGGTTAAGAAGTATGTCCTCTTTAAGCACCAGAATCTTGACTGAATTCCCAGAGGATCCAGCTGGCTCAGATCTCACATCTTAAAGTTAGTAAAAGTGATTTCTTAACTCAGGTCTTAATAAAGAAAAAAGATAAATAATTTGTTGATAATGACAACCCACATCATTTATTAAACACTTTCATGTGGTAAACATTGTTCTAGGCACATGTTATGTGTATAATCGGCCCTCCATGTCTGCAGGTTCCCCATCTATGGATTCAACCAACCGCAGGGGGAAAGAGCTACTACAGTTGCATCTGTGCTGAACACGTGCAGATGTTTTTTCCTTGTCATTATATCCTAAACAATACACCATAACAACTGTTTATATAGCATTTACGTAGTATTATATGTTATAAATAATCTAGAGATGATTTAAAGAACACGGGAAGATGTGCGTGGGTTATATGCAAATACTACACCACTTTATATAAGGGACTTGCACATCTGTGGATTTTGATACTACAGGGGTCCTGGAACCAATCCCCGCATGGATACCTAGGGACGTCTGTAATCTCTTTGTATCCTCACCACTGTACTAGAAATCTAAAAGTAGGTTTAATTACCTCCATTTTGTTGTTGGAAAAATTGAGTCTTGGAGAAAGTAAGTCATGTATTTGTCCTACTGATTCTAAAGCCAAATTCCCAAAGTTATGCCTATGCCTATACACACCACATTTACACACAAACCCTCTAGTGCCCAGGTATAATTGTAGGAGAAGGCCTAGGATTAATTTACAATTTTTATCACTAAGGAATATCAGGGAAGCACAGTTCTACTTCGGTTTAACTAAAATTTATCACACATCTACTCCGTAGTAGGTTCTGAGCTTTGCTCAGAGGGAAAGAGATGGATTACAAAAGATATTGACTTTGAGGAGTTCATGGTATTATCTTAAAGACGGATGTGAAAATGTATAATTTCATTTGAATGTGGAAAATACAATGAGAGATGTCTGGGTTTGACCTAAGACTTGCCCTGATTTTCATCATGATACCTGGGGTTCGTGTTGAAGGTTCTATTCCTGCAAATTGTTAATTAACTGAGAACCTCTTCTGAGTGAGTTACTGCGCGAGGCATTAGAGGTACAGAAAAGACCAAACTATTGACTGGTCTGGAGCTTCTAGAGATGTGAAGATCTCACTAGATTCAGGAGATCTGAGGGGGACTGATCATTTCCTTCTATCAGTGGTGACCATTCATAGAGATTTTTATGCCTTTATATGTGCAATTTGGTCAGTTGATTCCAGTCTTTAAAATTGTCTCCATTAGTTATTGTCCTAGTTGCTTTAATTCTTTTCTTGCTATTTCACAAATCCATGAAAATGCTGATGGTAGGTACTTTCCTTGACTCTGCCTCTATTATGAGAAACACCTGCTACAGTGCATTTCCTTCCTCCGCAGTGGGAAACATTTTTCAAATTTCCTTTGTTTTTTGCCCAAGGAGGACAACTTTTAGCTGAAATAGGCTCCCTAGGTTCCCTTAGAAGCCCCAAGCGGGCTATCTAATGCCTCTCAGGGAAGCAGTTCAAGCTAAGAATGATCTTCCTGAAGCCTTCTTGAGATCTTGTTAATTTACTGTTTCAGACCCATTTATCTCTGAAATTTGGGAATAGGACTCTGTGTTTCTCGCTTCTTTAGCCCTTGCTAAACATAGATCATTTGGGTAATAAAAAAAGGCAAGTATGCTTCGTATTTACTAAGTAATTAAAGTGTGGGAGAAGAGATTATTCATTGCAGCTTTCTTTTTTAAGAAGAGATTTCCTTGAAGTGTTCCTTAGAGATGCACATTTGTGTCTTATCTCTCATTTGAAATTTTGAGCTCTGATTCCGTGACAATTTGCTTGGTGATCTTGAGAAGGTCATTTTAACTCTCTTCACCTCAGCCTGCCCATTTTCACAATGAGAGTTAGATGACGTGCGCTCTAAGTTTTATTTCAGCTGGAACATTTGGTTATTCTCTTGTTTGAAATCAAGGATCATTTCTTAGGAAGTTTTCTGAAAGCTCCACCTGGCTTGCACCAGTTTGCAGGCAGCATAGACTAGAGACAAATAAGTATGAATGTGTAGGCTTACAAAATCTCAGAGTTCAAAGGGATTGTAAAGGTCATGGAGCCCAGCCCCCTATGGCGATACCTGAATACCTTCTACAACATCTCCACCATGTGGTCTACAGGTGAACACATCTACCAGACATTACTTACCTACCACGTTGACCATAATTTTTCTGTAGGCTACTGTGAAGCCCTTTCTCTAGTTGTTCCAAAATATGTTGCCCTATATTTTCTGCTAGTGGGTCTGAATTCTACCATTTATGGGTTCATTAAAAAGCACAATTTCTTTTTCACATAACAATCGTTTAGATATTTGAAAATGTTGACACAAATATCCTTGCCTCAGGGTAACAACCCAGTTCTTTAAAGCATTCCTGCTGTGGTACAGTTCTGAGTTTGTTCCTAATTTTGATCACTTTTCTCGTAATTTGACCCAGATTGTCAATGCCATTCTTATTGGCCTGCAGGACTGATCAAATGTCCTAAGTAATCTTTGATGACAGAATTTTAAAATTGATTTTTAGAGAGAAGTAAAGATAATCTGATAAGAAATTGTCACTGTAATCTGAGCAAAAAAATGACAGGCATCTCTGCAAAGAGGGAGGAGGATACTAGTATCTGTTGAATAGTTTATCTTTTGTTTTAAATGCAAGTAATGTAATCACTGAGCACTTCCCATTTTAGAGTTTAAGTTACTTGTATGAGACTAGTATGTGATAGGCCTGGGATTCTAACATAGTTTGTATGGCTCAAATATCCAGCAGTATCCTTCAAGTGGGAAGACGATTTCAAACATATTGTATGAGAAGGGGTCCACTTCAACAAATAAATGGACAGAATGAAAAAACTTGTCCCCTAGTTGGTTTTCAAGAGAAATTGCTTTTGAAAATTCCATATGGAATGGCTGCCTAGATTAGGAACATCATACGGAAATTCCCAAAATGCGGCAAAGGGTTTCCGTGCCCTCTTGTAGAAGTGAGAATGAGTTCTATGTGTCTGTGCATGGTCATTTTTATTCCAAGATAGCTCTGTGCTTGACACAGGAGCTGGAGAGAGGATGTTTGTCTACAGGCCACTGGAACAGTGCTCATTGGCTGTGGGGAAGTGTTAGAAATGAGTAGCCCACAGCAGCTCCAATTTCCGGGTAAACAGATTTCTGAATGTATCTTTTTGGTTAGCAATTGGCTCAGTCTCAGTTGCTTTTTTCTTGGAGTGTATTAGGCATAGACCAGTCATCACTTGGACACCTATCCCACAGCAATTAGCAAAGCCTGCATTTTCCAGGAATGTCCACTACTCTGCAGTCAGCCTTCAAAAGAACAAGGCAGATTGTCAGGAGACATCCTTGAGTTGAGCAAAAAGAACAGTGTGTTTAAGATGACATACAGCAGAGGGTGGAAGCATGCTGCCGAACATACCAAAAGTATGATTTGTGACGCGTGATTGAACTCTATCTGTGAGTAGATTTAGAGGGTCAAGGGAAGTATTGAGTGAGCTGGTATATGGACATAATGTACTTAGAATGTTAACTAGTGCTGAGTAAACGCTCAGTAAATGGTAGCGATGGTCACAAGAATTATTATCAGGTCAGCAATTTAATTTGTGGAAAAATAAAGATGTCTTGGTTATATGCTGGAGTGGTGTAGTTCATTGCCATCTCTTGAACTTTCTAGACCCTATCCTGTCTTGAAATTTGGGAACTGACAGACTGATAAACCCTGAGACTCACATGATCATTGCAGTGAAGAACAAGTAAAAGAATCATGATCATTCCCTTATTTCAGACCTTCGTTGGCACTCCCTCTTCTACAGAATGCAGTCCACACTCTGAGTGAGGGTAAATACACAGCAGCATAATGTGCTCCTGTTATCCTCATACCCTCAGCCTCTCCTGTTCCTCTGACTTTTCACCTTTTGCTATTGGAACACTGGACTCAGACACAGAGCTGTTTCATTGCATTGTGTCTTTGTCCATCTTGTTCCTTTTTCTGGGAAAGGACATTATATGCCAGAAGCAAGAGGTGAGTTATATCATTTAATTCTTACCTGACTTTGATCTGCTTTGTTGGTGACTTGTAAGGTAGTCAATGATTTTGTTGGCTTGATAGAGGATTGTATCATTCATTTCACAATCACTTATTAATTGCCTTCTATGTGCTAAGCAAGGCGCTGAGATAGAGAAGTAAGACAGAATCCCCATCTTCAACTAGCTTATGGAGAGAAGTTAAATAAGTGCTATGTTAAATAGCATGGTCAAGATAGAAGGAAACCTCACTTGGCAAGTTCTGGATTAATCCTGACTTTGCCAGGGAGATTGGAGCAACTGGGCTTTGCAGAAAAAGCAATTAACCTAGCAAAGGAATGAGTGCGTGAGCAACCCAACATAAAAAGAAATGTTCTTGGACATGGTTTTTGACAGGTCTATGGCTTTAAGAGCACCAAGCTTGCCCAGGAGAAGAGTTTTGCTCAATACACTCAATGATGTGGTCAGAGTTTATCAAGATAGTTCCCAAAATATTGAAAAGAAGAATATTCACAGAAGAAAAGCGGGGAGTGGTAAGCCCTCCCTCACCATCTTCAGAGGAAGGTTGTGAGGACCCTAAGAGATCAGAATGAGAGGATGACTGGGCTGGGAAAGGCTTTGTCAACTGGGAGCTCTTGGGTGTGGGAACAGAACAACATAGAAGTTTCTTTCTTGGTTTTCTTATGGGTCCAATATGGTAATAAATGATGAGTTCCTCATCATGTTCCAGAATGCAATCAGCCAGTACTCTATCTGAGTTCTAGTCTACGGTTTAAAT